AGATAAGATATGATAAGATAAGATAAGATACGATAAGATAAGTTGCGATAAGATAAGATAGGTGAAGATAAGATACAATAAGATAGGATACGATACGATAAGATAGGATAAGAAAGGATACGATAAGATAAGATATGATAAGATAAGTTGCGATAAGATAAGATAGGTGAAGATAAGATACAATAAGATAGGATATGATACGATAAGATAGGATAAGAAAGGATAAGATAAGATAAGATACGATAAGATAAGTTGCGATAAGATAAGATAGGCTAGGATAGGATATGATAGGTTAAGATAAGATAAGATACGATAAGATAAAAAAGATGCGATAAGATAAGATAGGATAAGAAAGGATACGATAAGATAAGAAACGATAGGATACAATAGGATACGATAAGATAGACCTTAGAGATAGAGAGAATAGAGAGTGTAAATTTAACACTCAGAGTTAACATCAAACTTTTTGTAGTGGTACATTAACAGTACTCAGTAGTTAGTAGAAAAGTATAATGGAGTCACCCTTCACGCACCAGGACATACCTCTCACTTATGGTGTCGATTTTTGGCCAATAACACAAACTTAAAGTTGAACAACTTGATCAAACTGAACAAAAAAACAAACCAGAACAACAAATTTTTACTCTCATGAACTTCTTTAATAGTCATAAACATCATTTCTACAAGATTACCCAGCATCCCTTGCTGAAAAGATACTGGTCTGTCTGACATGAGGTGGAAGAGGGCGGGGCTTCTCAGATTACTTCTTTCAACACTGAATGGTGTCATATAACAACACTGTGAAGTGTTATATAAGACTTAACAGTGGGCGGAGCTTATTTAACACTGTCCAGTGTTGATACAACACTGAGGAAATCAACACTGTGAATTAACACCAACACTGGGTGTCAGTTTACTCAGAAAGTGTTAAAATAACACTAGGGGGTGTTAAATCAACACCCAAAAGTTTAACACTGAAATTTTAACACTCCTGTTTTTAATGCAAATGCATTTATGAGTTATAGTTCATGATCTGGGATTCGGAGTAACCAAGTTTAACTTTTAGTTTGTGGAATATCAGAATTGGAGAGGTTTGTGCTGCTTCATTAACATAATACATTTTTAATAACCCAAAGATGGTCACCAGGACAACTGGCTTTTGTTGTAATAACATTAATTTTTCTGAACTAAATTGTTCAACAAAGTTTTTTTTTTTTTTTTTAAATGTAACTTTCTTTCACTTTACATAATGTCAGGAGTTCTTGCAAAAATTTATTGTGGCAACTGCTGACTTGTAACTTTGCTACTGAAGGATTATTGAGCATCAGGAAAAAGAACTAGATATTTTGTTGCTGTGGTTCAGCAAGCAGGGAGTAAAACTCTGCAGTTTACTTTGTCAAACTTTGACATAAAATATTAAGCAATAAGTGACCCAGCTTACACTCAGAGTTATGTAGATCTTACAGGCCAACATTTCATTTAGTTGGGGTCTTTAAATGTTCATCATGTTAGCTTACAGGAGTTATTGTCAAGATGATGCAGTTCAAGCAAAGTGAGAAAAAAAAACATTGTGTAAACTGTGCAGCTTTCAGCAAATCACATTTATCCTTTATTCAAGCATGTTTAACAGCTTGTTCTTTTACATTTCTTAGGAAGAATTAGAATTTTGTTTACCCTTTAAAAAAGCTCAAATCTCTGACATTTATTTTTCAATGTCAGTTTAAGATGTTTAATCAMTCTGATGTGTGGTRGCTTTTAATTGTTTTCACATAAGTWTTCATACATATTCTGTATTGGCAAAGGATTTATTAATGCTGGCGTATTATTAATTTTTTTTAACACTCTGAGAGTGTGTCTGTGTGTGTGTTTGTGTGCGATAACTTTGCTTTCATCCACTAACACTTTGATAAAGGCCTCAGTACATGAGCTTATTTTGGCAGTCACATGAAAACAGTTGTTTAATTACACAGAAACAACAAGATTTTCAGTTTTATTCTGACTTTAGCAGTTAATGGCTGCACTGCAGTTTGTTTGTATCAGCTTCTCTCTGTCACTTCTAATGAGTTCACACCAGAACAGTGGCTGCTGAAGCAGAGGTAGGGTCCTCCATGTGGGCGATGAAGCTTCAGGGGGAAGGTTCTTTATGGAAGAGGTTTGTTCTAAAAGATAAAACAACTTGTCGTGACAATATTTTAATGAACAAATTAGTGTTGTTTTTTTAAAATATTCAAAAATTTGACTGAAAAACATTAAAATATTTGAGAAAAAAGACCCAATTGTTATCAGCGTATACAGTTGTAGTTTTGTGTCATTTTTACAAATATTATTAAAAAAACAATTTTGGTTTTGAAAATGATGCCTCAAACATGAAACATTTTTTAATGGAAAAAATATAAATCTTTTTCTATTTAACAGACTAACTAATGAAAACGGATTTCCCAGTCAGAGAGCATGGATTGGGTTTTGTTGGGTAAATGCGAACAAGCGTGTGTGAGTTACGCCCTTGTTTGATGTCATTTTCAATCTCAGCCCATTTCTGTCATTTATTCAATTTATTCATCCCCCATATCTGTGAATGAAAAGACTGGGAAATTAAGGCTAAATTTTGTTCTTACAAAGCCAGTTTTATTCTTTGCCCCTTTGCGTTAGATTTGTGATTAGCGATTATTAAATTTAGCACGAGCACTCTGTACAAATGGACATTTATTTAAAACTAATGCAATAATTAGCTGAAGAAAGTTGATAATTACTGTAAAATCTTTGGACCCTCTGGACGTGGCATCTCCGAGGCAGCAGCCTGCCCTCAATTAACCCTGGAAGACCTCGAGCAACATACGACTGTAGCCACCTGCGTGTGTAAAASACATCTCAGGTCTTAATGCGTTGAAGTCATTTAAAARGGGATCTTTCTGTATCCTGGAAAAGGCTTTCTGGGAGATGGCACACCACTACCACCCCTCAACCCAACTCCCTCCAAAAAAATCATTTATTAAAGAAGACCCCACAACTCAAGATGATTAAAAATAAATTACTAAATGATTTAAATTGTATCAAGCCCATTCTTAACAACAAACAAGCCTCCAGCAGAACTATCTTATCTTCATGTTGCACAAGAGATTAAGTGACTGAATGGATCAATGCTTAGAGCTTCATCCCTTAAAAAGCTTAATATAGCTGCATTAATAAAGTAAAGGTGAACATTTTTTATTGCAGCACAAACAAACTCTCCACTCATGTAACATATCCTACTTTAGTTTTTAAAAATGCGCAGCACTAAGCTGTGACAGATAAAGAAAACATTTTTTTTGCATCATAAGTAGTTTCTGCAATCTGTTGTGCAACTGAAATCAAAATTCACGAAATTGTGTTTCTTTTCTAAATCAGTGGACTTTTCATTTCTCTTGAAACGACAAAGTATACTTAAGTGAAAATTTTAAACAACAATAAAACATATGTTTATTCGTGTTCGGTTGAGATATCAACACAAGTTGATTTTAAAAGTGTGTGTTCATAAAATCACACGCACAGTTCCTCATATATGTATGAATCAAAGACACACCAGAACCACAATTAGCCCACAGAGGGAATGAAATAGTTGTTTTCTATAAAACATGAAAGGAAAATAAAAATACGTAGGTATGGAAAAACTCCTAAAACATGGAATATTTCAAGCAGTGCTAAGGTTTCAATAATTATTAACTGGAAACAACAACCAGGGCTGTTTCCTAACGCTGGCTGCTCATCTAAACTGAATTACTGCTATTGGGCAGCTCTGAGAAAGACTTATTCAGACTTTGAACACGGGCAAATGAAATGAATAAATGCTGGCAGGTAGAATGGAAATGGAAAACCGCAAGGTTCGGGCATGAAATAAAAAAACAACTGAAGTTCAAACAATAATGTCTTACAGTCAACATTACAGAGCTACACGATCCCAAAGGTACAAAAAACATGGCAAAAGTGAGGTTAGCAAAAAATAACTACATAAATGGGACGACATGACTAAAATGTGRCAAAAACTCCAGAAGTTGCAGTTACAGTGGCATACTGTAGCTCAGATTATGTGCAGTTTTATTCATACCAGTCATATTACATGTCTGAATTTTATGTTTTGTTTGACGGAGCTTTTTAAAGTGCATATGTTGTGTAGGTAAGATGCATACAGTTGGAGAGAAAGTGGGTAAATTACCCTTTAAATTAGACATATCATACTTTAAAATCCACCCTTTTCACATTTAAATCCTTTATTTTTATTTTTATTGTTTGAGGTGATGTTTTTATGTTGTTGTTGCTTTTATTTGTATTATTTTATTTTATTTTCTCATTTTATGTTACTTAGTTTTGTTTTGTAAATTATGTTTCGTTTGAATATATTCTGGGTCGAAAAGGGGCAGACAAAATAAGATTTATTCTTCTTCTGCTTCCTTTCATTTCATTTTGATTTGTATATATTTTTTTTGGTTTTTGGTTTATTTTTATTATTGTATATAGTATTTTTAATGAAATAAATAAAATTTTGAATTGAATTGAATTTTGCATCTATATAAAGTAGAACAGCAAAGCTTTCAACTGAATTCCTCATTGCTGTAACTCCATAAGCCCCGCCTCTTTTCTGGGGTGTGTCTCAGATCCCCTTGTTTTGATGCCGTCTCTTTAAATCCAAAACGAGGCTCTTCCAAAGCCTTTAATTGTTGTTTGATAGAGAGGTTTGTGACTATACAGCTGCACAGAAACCTTTGATTTACACAACTAGAAAACTGTTGCTTTTTGTTTCAGGGGAGGAGAATTCACCAGGCTGGCTGAGTGGAGAAGACGAAGGGAAAAACGTGGCACCATTTTGTTGTCCGCTGCTTGCCTGTCACATGCCTGTTTTTGCCACCAAGGCTTTGGAGAGAAAGGTAACTATGTTGTCATCACAGTAAAGAAATGTAGCTACATGCCACAAAAGGCCGTCATCGTGGAGGARTCAGAATTCCAAATTAAGCAGGCAGGAGGCAGAACGTAATAACTTCCCTGCATCACCTCACTCTGGGCAGCTGATTTTACTCTAAACACCATTCTCTCTATCTTCACTTTAAAACATTTATTCATCAGGATTAATGAAGCAGCACTGCAGCTTAATAAATTGTCTCTTAACTTTAAAAATTATTTTTTTAAACAAATAATGTTATTGAACACCATGATGCATTGCAGTCAACAAAAAAAAAGAAGAATAAGAAGAGGAAGAAGAAGAAGAAGAAGAAAAAAGAAACCCTGCACTTTAGTTTTGATTTTCTGGAACATTTTCCAAAAAGTACTATTTGTCATCTTTGAAAGGCTTTGCAATGACCTGTTGTGCAATTTTGTGGCTACCGATAATGGTGTACTTCTTGGCTTTGGTCTATGGAGTCCTACTGTTTTTTTTTTTTTTTTTGTGCATCATAGCATACAGGAGGAACCCACCACTCAAGGTCAGCCTGGAGCTCTTTAAATGTATTGTGTGACTTTCTTCAACATCCACACAAGACTTCTCAGATTTAAGATTTCAGATTTATTTCTTTATTTATTTTTTGCATCATTTGCATGCAATGGTTGCAAAGTGTGCCACATTGTTATGCAGGAAAAATTGCTCAATTTAAATTGTGTAAATTTCACGTCTTAGGATCGTTACTGTTTTGTGTACTCATGCTGTWTCTTAGATAACAACACGCAGTACGATCTAATTAATGTAAAATAATAATTTAAGAAAGTTAGATATTTTTTAAAGTCCAATAAATTTAAAAAGAAAAAAGTAACATTAACTTGAGACTTTCTGTTTAATTCTCTAATTTAGCATGCAGCAGTGATGCTATAACTATCATAAATAATGCACCTAATTGTGTTTTCACCCGCCGCTTTCAAGTTCTTAAATCAACATTTTTACCTGAGTCTGCTAATTGTAGTTTAGCTGCAAATAATTGAATGTTTTAAGTGTTTCTAACCTAAACACTGATTGACTGAAATTTTTTTAGATCACTCAGGCAAAGCYATTTGACTTTCTCTGACATTAACCTTCGCTTTGAACCAGCCATTAGACCACAGTCGCGGCAGAAATCCGCTGATAGTCAAAAAATTGTGTCAAACGAGATGATAATGTGTCATTTTACACARGCACTTCTGAATGCAATTAAAGCCCACTAGCTTTGACCTTAGAATATAAAAATGCACTTTATCAGTGATGAGCTCACTCAAAAATACATAGACTATTGGAATAACAAGGTGACACGAGTGCAGCTCTTCAAGTTGCTGCCTGAAGAATTTGGATCAATACAAGCTGTTAAGACCTAGAAGCTTCCGATAGTTTAAACGGTCAGCACAAGTGAGAGATAGACTTACAGGGTTTTAGGAGTCGARGGAAATGGTTTGAAATCAATTTGCGAGGCCTGAAAGATGATATGTCTAACCACATTTTCTAAAACCATAATGTGGTTATGGTCCTACTGAGCAAGTTGGGTGATAGGGGGTGCAAATGTCCACCAGGGTAGGATGCGGGATCATGCAATTACCCTAATGGCACAGGCACACCTAAACATTAATCAATGTTCCAGCATTAGATTAAAAACTATGCACTAACCCATCGTCRACGAGCCATATGGACAAGACTGGGAGGTGAAACAACAGCTGGAAGTCTAAAAAACATCTAGCTTTGWCAAGATATGCGGGGTTTTCCCACGAGATCTTGACAAGATTCTGCGGAATTCATGTGACTAGAAGCTGAGCCAAGTCAATTAATATCTTTTGAGCCAGAGGGACCCGGTGTCTGTAAGGATCTTCTCATGCTCTCTGCTTCACTCACAAATAAATGAAGCACCTGAGCGCACCACTAAAGGGGAATACAGTCATGTCAGTCACAAATACGGTTGACCAGATATTGATTTAGGAGCCTTTTTTTTATTTGCAGAAATAATGATACTGTGCTTGTGTGTTTGCTTTTAGAGCTACAGTATGTGCAGTTTTTCATGGCTCTGTMATGTGCAACGTATGTGATTTACCATGTTTATATCAATGTTTTATGTGGACTGGCACTTTTTTATCCAAAGCATAACGTGGTAATAAGAATAGGGTCTAGGTATCAGAAAGCTGAAGAGGTATGCAGCATTTCTTTCTCTTTTTTGATGAAAGAAAAGGTAGAATTAAATGGAGTGACTTTAAGTCCTTCATGCAGAGCAGACTGTGATTAGGGGCTTAACTCAGCTGCAGCCCCCCCTTCTCTGTGTCTCCATCTTTGCCTCAGCCGCTGCCTCTGAGACACACACGCCTCCCCGTGCCAAAGCTCCACAGCTCTTTCTCCGGCTCTCGCGGCTCCTTTTGGCAGCCTGAGTTACAGTGAGTAGAAAGAATGAAGAAAAAGGAGGCATAAAAGAAATCCCAGATTAAAAGAGATGTGGCCGAAGGGGCCAAAGCCATTTCCTGCAAAAATAAAGTTCTAAAGCAGCCTAGCATGAACAGCACGCATAGGTCACCTGGGGGAMCTCAGCCACTGCCGGCTGGGTACAGCGGCGGTCCACTCAGTGGGAGCTACAGGGGGCTACAGGGCGAACTCGTTAGGCACCGGAGATAAACCTTATCACAAGTCTGCTGAGCGAGAACAGTGGGGGTGGACTGACTCCTCTCAATTTATTTCTTCTCTTCTCCTCCTTTCTTCCTCTCTCTCGCGCACAAACACACCGAGAATCAGACTCTATCTTGGTTAAAAGATGAACCACATTCTGATGGGCCTTGTTGTTTAAAGAGTCGTAGCACGCTCTGTTTCGCTGGCCTTTCTGCCATTTTGAGAGATGAAACAGAGCAGGTTTGGCAGTTTGCCCAAAGGAATGTGTGAGGTGGTTGGGTTAAGGGATTAATAGGAGAAGCTAAAGCTAAAAGGGTAACAGACTTTTTACACAGGAGATATGACTGTTAAATGGAACAATTAATGCTCACTTCAGCAGCAGTACATTAGCAGTTGATGTCAGCTTTTTAAGGAATTGTGCTTTAAATTGTTACAGATAAACAAAGTAAAGAGCTCAGAATCTACCGGAAACATTAAACAGACATTTATACATCTTTAGCTTTTTTTCTTAAAAGTACTACCGTATTTATTCAAGTATAACACGTAAAATTAAATCCATAAAATCATCCATAAATTTGGGGGTAGTACTATACTTGGATAAATATTTTTACTTATGTATTTTAACTGAAATATC